CGAACACTGCAGTTTTGGTCCGTTCCACGTGGTATTCTAGCCCTGACATGTGCAATTAAGGGGGTTGTATGCTTTAAGTTAGAAATGGGGAGTTGCTTGAGTTTATTGCTGAGAGGTGCTTGTACTATATGTATTTGTGTCCTGACTCTTGGGGCTCTTAAGATCTAGTATAAAAGGCTAGCAAATATCGTGAGTAGGAGTGATTGTAGACAGGCACGACAGCACGTTCAAATGATTCAAATGGTTCAAATGGTTCAAATGGTTGAGGACGGAATAGAAGCTTTCGCTTAACGGGGTTCCGTGTTTAGTAGCAGTGGATAACCAATACATCCAGGCAAAAACCTAGGTATATGAACGATAATAGAGGAAAAAAAGAATTCGGTAAATCATAATAAGTTATCCTTAGTCCTTAAGAATAAGTCAAGTTTCCTCATAAAGGACTCCTGGGAAGTCGTTTGGACTCGCTCAGTCGGCAGCGAATTCCAGCACTTGACTACTCTTACGTAGTAGAAGTTGTGTCTGCAGTCTGTTCTGTTATGTTGGGTCTCCGGTTTCTGGGTGTTACCTCTTAGGTTAGTGTTGTAACTAAGCTTAAGAAGATGTTTAGGGGGATGACCAGAAGTATTAAAGATACTGTAAGTCATAAGAAGGTCACCTCTAAGATACCTGTACTCTAACGGGTAAAGGTTAAGTGATTGGAGGCGCTCCTCATAAGATTTGAATTTGAGTCCCCCAAATGATTTCGTGGCTCGACGTTGTATACGTTCCACAGTGTCCTTATCCGTTTGGAGGGAGGGAGGAAATACTATGTTTCCGTACTCTAATTGGGGACGAATGAAACTTAAAGATTATGTGGAAGGTTCTACCGTCAAACTGGCCAAAAATAGGCTTTAATGTTACCAGTGCAAGGTTTGCTTGAAAGGCGATTTTGTCACAGTTCGCGTACGATTTCAGGTCATAGGGTACCAACACTCCCAAATCTTTTCCGATTTGGGAAACTTCTAGAGGGGAGTTACCTAAGTTATAACTATAGTTTGCAACATGTCGCAGATGGACTATTCTGCACTTTGAAGTGTTAAAGGTAAGTCCGTTGTCGTCTGCCCAACTTTGAAGTCGGGTCAGATCCTCCTGAAGAACTAGTATATCATTATGATTACGTATCTCTCTTCAAAGTTTCACATCATCAACAAAAAACAACAAGTCAGATGAAACTTGTTGAGGAAGATCGTTAATGTAAATCAAGAAGAGAAGAGGTCCTAATACTGAGCCCTGGAGGACCCCACCAAGACATCACTTTCTAGATATGAATTAAGCCAGTCCACCAAAGGGGTTTTTATACCCAATCGTTTAAGCTTTTTGATAAGGCATGCGTGGTTGACCCTATCAAAAGCTTTTGAGAAATCCAGGTAGATGACGTCAACCTTCCCCTTGCGATCAAGGATGGTTGTCCATCTATCCACCGCAGTCAGCAGGTTGGTCATACAAGAATGACCTTTTCTGAAACCATGCTGTTGAGGTGAGAAGAACTTTAAGGATGATAAGTATTCTTGTATACCGTTGTACATCAGGGATTCCATAATTTTGGAAGGTATGGAGAGAAGGGCCACTGGTCGGTAGCTTGAGGGTCCACTGCGTCGACCTCCTTTGAAAATTGGTGTGATGTGAGCCAGCTTCCAGATTTCTGGTAGTTTGCCTCTGCTTAGCGAGTGTGCAAACATCACGCTAAGTGGTGTCGCAAGGATTGAAGCTGCTTCCCTCAATACAGCGGAATGAACCATATCCGGACAGGGAGAAATGTCTTTTCTTAGGTGCTGCAGTTTACGGAGCATAAGGTCAGCACTCAGGTCCACTTCGGAAAGTTTTGTACAGGTGCAGGTGAAGCTTTCGTCAGTATAGTTGATGTGGGTCATCTGGAATGTCTGGGAGTATTGTTCAGCCAAAAGGTTGGCGGCATCTCCATCGTTATTTATCGGGCCATTGGGACCAAGCAGTTGGGAAACCCCAGTTTTGCCTTGTTGAAGAGAAGCTGCGTAACTGAATAAGCTCTTCGGATTGGAGACGAATTTATCGATAAGCTTGGTCTGGAACTGAAGCCAGTCTTCTCTTATTGCCTTTGAACATATGTTCCTCATGCGTTTATATTGCATGTATGCGTCAGTATTGTCCGTTCGTTTATATTCGGTTCAACAGTGCCTTTTGTGGCTCAGCAAACGACAAGTGCGGTTCTTGATGATTGGAGGTTGTTTGTAGCTTTGTGGGACCATCTGAGGAACTGAATGCTCAGTAGCACATAAGATCGTGTTAGAATGATTGAGTACTGTCAGTCTTATGCGTATATTGTAGGATTCGTGGAAAGGTGCATACTGTGGGTGTTGTGTTATTTTTGGTTTCCTCAATAGGTTAAGGTGCGATTTTGTAATCCTGTGACCGAACGGCATACATCGAAGCCTTTTAAACACTTTTGGGTAGATATGATAAATTACTTTCACAGATTTTTATAATTTCGGGATAAAATGTTCTGGAACACTAAATAGCTGTTTATATGGCAATAAGTCGTGAATAGCTTGTGTAACGTTAAGTTCCGTCTGACTACTATCATGAATAGCACTGATGACTGCCATGGGATTTATATCGTAACTATTAAGGTTGATGAAGTTGTATACAGACTAATCACACGTGTTTTCTGTGAGATCACTTAGCGTATACTTAGCTGGAGAAAGAATACGGTGGATAACCATCGTATTTACAGTAGAATCAGGTATTTTCAGCTGTGTTTAAATATATTGCGCCAACATAATACAGCTTCATTCTGCGTACTTCAAGCCAGAGTTTTGTAACAGACAACAAAGAGTGAATGCACTGGAAGAAGAAGAACAAGCCCTACGTCGTCTGAACCTGCAGAATAACGAGTAAAACTATTTTGTAATAACTTTCCCCTTTTGTATTAAAAACCGCGTATTTCAATTTCAAATATATCTGCTGCACCATCACACCGTGTTCTCACTTCAGACGCACTTGTCTGTCCTGACTGTTGTGTTGCTGTTTCAGGTCGCTCCTGCTCCCAAGTGAACGTCGAAATACAACGTGCTACAGTTTTTTGGTGTTCAAGGCCGGTTGGGGCTAGTGGTATTTAGTTAGACTATTTGGAAATTTATCTTCAGGCAGATAATCAAGGTCCACGCTATTGAATCGTTTATTTCTGACAGACTTACATTCCGTGAGTTGTTAGATTGGATAGGCACAACTTTTCAAATGCTGGAATTCGCTGCCGACTGAGCTAGTCCAAGCGATTTCGCAAGAGTCTTTTAAGAGGAAAATTGAACTGTTCTTAAGGACTAAGGATATTATGATTTACAAATTTCCTGTTTCCCCTCTATTATCGTTATTATACCTAGGTTCCTGCCTGGAGGTATTGGTTATCCACTGCTACTAGACACGGAAGCCTGTCAAGCGAAAGCTTCTATTCCGTTCACAACCATTTAAAATATTATTTGCCAACTTGATTGATAGTTGACTGAGTGTTTGGAACCAAAGGGTTTAAGTGTGTAGTTACGGTGTACACTTTGACTGCGTAATCACTTATAAAAACAACAATTGTTGCACATGCACACGTGAACATACTCGCGAGTATGTCTGAAATCGTTAAGCTTACATTGGTAGTACAGCATGATAAGTGAAATGCTTAAAAAGTGTTACATAACTACCATTGATTTTCCAACAGAGGAGATTGACTAATATATGACAGTCTTGATGCAATTCGCTATGAATAATTTACAAAGATGTTCTTGAGTTGTAAATGTTTTGTCTAAAAAACAGAAATAACCTTCGTGATTTAGATTGGCTGGCTAAAAGAATTATGACATGTCAGAATGCAGCATTTCCCAGCAGATTATTGCCTTAGAATCATTTCATTCTGATCCGCCAATATCTAGTGCCGGAATGTTTATGTGACTGTATTTCGTAGAATATCTATTAAGGACATCGAAGTATCCTCTACGAGACCATTGAGCGCGGTTCGTATGGACCTTCAAAATTCACAGAAGCGGACGTTATTCGAGATTTAAAACAGTTTTGCTCTCAAAAAGAGTTTCACTATAAGAAGCCCGATCTTTATTTGGAGAAAAATTGAACATGATTTTTGACCTATACATATTACAAAATAAGCAGATAAATATCCTTGTATGTCATATCTTCAAAGGTAATAGAAACTTTTAGTCTATATTGGTTTGCAGTGTAAACTAAAGATAGCTTTACGGTAGTCTTCTATACACTAGTAATATGAATATTAGTAAGTAAATCAACAAAATAATAGAATGTTCAAAGTAGTATGATGTACATGGCTTAGAAAAAAAAACTGACGGGTTTGGGAGTGTACCACTTATATTCTTGACTACCAATCATAGTCATCTTTCGTTATGCCCCGATTACAATAGTGAATAGTAACTTTGGGATCCATTTATAGACCAATATTATGCATATAATTTTTATCGTATATTTGCTAAATAATTAAACTACTCATTTATGTTTCATTGTGAGCTTTATTTTGACCCTTGGACTATTGTTATACGATCTACCATTCCTGAGTTATACCCAGTCTATTAATTACTGTTCCACTTATTCACAGCCACATTTGGCCAACTCATGTACAAATGTTATTTTCTATATTATTGGTACGATGTGGTCAGTCTGTTTGGTATGTAATTTCAGTATGTTTGAAATACAATGATTCATACCACAGGGGCTGTTATTGGTGTTTTGGACTTAACTGGCTGGGCTAGGCAGAAGCAGGATCGATAAGCGCTCTTGACTGCTCGTACGGTTTTCGTGTGTCACTTCCAATCGACAATTCGCTGCTCTCTTATTAGCGGTCTTATCACTTCATACATTAACTAGGCATTTACTCGGCCACAAGATATAACATATTTTAGGACGATTTGTTTCTTTAAACATGTTATATGTCCAAAAATTAAAATCCTTTTGTTTTTCAGCAACGTTTGAAGATGTTCCCCAAAGGCATACAATTTGCTAATAAACCTTGGAAGTGTGTAGTTGAGCTACTTCACCAGGTAACTCTTGTTTTCATAGAAGTGTATTGAGAAATTACCAAGATACTCAATCATCATCCTACTATCGTTTCTTTAAGTGGTAGCTTCTTAATAAAAATAATATATACACAGGTGTTCATGATGTACGGAGTATGACAAAGTTATGGGAAGATTTTATTACGGATGTGAAACCTAGAATGGCGCAACCGTTAACCGCGTACAAATTGATGCGGGAATTTTTAGATGCAAGTTATATTTCCTATAGATTAAGCTACTTCTAGACACATTTTGTCGAGGCAAATATTGACTTTCATACCTGTTTATCCTCCCTCTTATCAGCAAATTTATTTATACGATATAGTGAATTGAATACGTATACTCTGGGATTATTAATTTCGACTATCAAGGTTGGACTTTATGTCGTTTTGTAATCAATAGATTATTTAAAGGAGAAGTGTGATCATGTTGTAACTCGACGGCTTTTCTCGCATTTCTATGAACCTATCCTATCTTTGAAGTTAAATATTTCAGAGGGTAAGCTGGAGATCTTTTTGTGTATGCTCCTAAATATTTGTTTCATTAAAACTGTTTGACTTGAAACGTCTTCTAATACTTAAGTAGTTTCTCCTTCAAATCCATTATTCCCTGAAATTTCCACTGGTACTCTGCGTTCCCTTCCCTCAGAAATCTACTATAGTTCCTTGTTCTTCCTATAGATTCTAAGCGAAATTCGTATTTCTCGAAGTTTTCTAAATTTGAACTACTATTTGCTGGTTGACTATTAGAGCTGTTACCCAGCTAGTGAAATTGAAGTAGGTAAAGTAGGATTTGTGTGTTTTATTTAAGGAGTACTTCAACAATAATGTTTCATGCTACGCTTCCCTCCTGACGTTAAGATTAAAAACGTATTCTGTAGGAATTTAATCCATCATGTTCCTTCCTATTAATTATTACTGTGTTACTTTTTGGCTGGGAATTTCAGCAATTTTATTGATTGGTGACTGGAATTTAAAATCAAGCTTGAAGCTGGGTATTTTAATGTTCCGGCTAAGTGATCAGATAATGGTGATCGTCTGCTGCAACTGTGCTCAGGCAATCGTTTATTTTTAGCAAACTAATTTTAAGCATTAGGAGAGACGTCGTCTAACATGGCAATCCTCCGCACCAAACCAATGATAGACTCAAACTATATTGCCATCCGTCATCGTTAAAGAGGCTCGACGGAAGACTCCCGGTTGTTCTGGAGTATACGTTTAGACTATGATCATGCTTTAATACAAGCACACATTTGTTTGTGCCTCACTGGACGCATAAAAACCACATTAGGAAGACCCATTAAAGTTGAACTTAGTGACGAGAAAGCCAGAAGTAGATTCCCGGAACAATTGAGGTCACAATTAGGCACGTTGTAGCTAACTGACTAACTGAAATTACATCGCGGCGAGAAGAAATCTTCACTGAGCTCCCCTATTTCCAATGGTTTTTCGAATTATGTTGATAAAGATAGTCGTAATATGTAGTTTGATTGAATTATGGTTTGTAATTGGTATCGTGATTTTCGTCGTATAATTTCTTATAGATGGCACATATTCGATTTCTCAAATGGAACTTGTTAATCGACTTGAACAGTTAACTAGCTATTGGGTAACGTATTTATCTAGCGACTTTCCCTGTAATGTGTCCAAATTCGACCCAGCTCATTTTTTATTCGATTGGATTAGATTGGCATATTGTTTGATTGTCAGTGGCATAGTCTATAAACGGATAGATTATTTCAATGTTGGAGTGCGATTTTTAGTTGTAATAAAATCAAAGAATGTGCAACAATATGACATTTTTATAAAATATCTTGTAAGTTATCAAAATTGTCTACGACTTTTTTTTTTCTATAAACGTTGTCTTGGTTATATTCCTGTTTGTTTCGAAACCTTTTAATAATATTGATGATACTTAGTTAATTATAGAGGCATGTACTGTAATTATATGGATCTAAGTGATAGACAACTAAATGGATTGCTCTCCTTAAACCTTCTGGCCCCCAAATGCTCTGGTACTCCAAGGGTGGGGATAGTCTGCTCTCCCTCTCGGAATGTTCTCACGTGGCCATGCGTATATAGCCGCTGACAGGGAAGTCCTGCTCACTGCCTTCTCATGGCTGGGGTGTTGTTTACGAAATTGAGAGGACGAAAAGCGAATGTCCGGCGCTTTAATCGGATTGGTGGATGTGGAGGATCTACCTAGGGGAATTGGAAAACCCTGATTCCAAATCAATGATGCACATGGCCCCAGTATCCCGAGGGAGCAAAAAGCATATGAACCAATTGTTAGTCACCGTCTACTATGTGACTTCATCTCCTCACGTTGCTCCACTGCTTTGTGGATCAGACCTTTAGGTCGAAGGCTTGGGGTGTGTCTCCCTAGGAAAACCACCTGCTTCGGTATGGACACTCTGGCAGTATCACAATCCACACACAAATCAAGTGACTTGTGTGGCGGATATATATTTGGTGCCCCTATGTACCAGTATTTATGTTCAAATAAAAAAACCTGGTAAATAAAAAGTGGGAAGAGTCATTTCTTCCTCTCGATCTGTTCTCACACATTACAAAGTCTATAACCTCTTCTCAAGAGGTACTACTCACTAGCCTCATATGGTGAGGGTGTTTCCCGACGATTGAGATGGCGGAAACAAACACAGCTTAGATTAGGTCGACCAATGCAAAGGGTTCATTTGAGAGAGCTGTGAAACTATGAAACCAAATCAGTCCTCCAGATAAGTTCTAGGATCCTAATGAAATAAGTTTCTAGTGAACTCATTCTAGTTACTAGTTTCCATGCGGACTCATCGTGATGTCTCTTCATCGGTAGTTTGTAGCTTACTATTTTCGTTATTATTTAAAAGCTACTTATCTATGATGCTTCTGATTACCCACTATTTATCTAAAAACCTCTGAAATTAGTATTTCTGTTGTGTAACAGCCATAAAAGTGCGTGGTCACAAATTACCGTTTTTGGTGTCGTAATTTGTTTTTTCACATATCCCTTCCTTGGTTATTATACATTCTAGATTGACGAATTATGGAATTCATTGTCAAGTATATATCTCCGAGCAACAGACTTTTCCTCAAAACCACTTTTATCTGGTAGTGAAGATTCGTCCAATTGTGTAAACATCAGCTCTTATATTCAGAGTTCTACAGATCAAGATCTTGTTGACTCTTATTATCAGGAATTTGGCGTACTTTTAAAACTCTCTCGTTTAACTTCTAATTTAAATTGTTCAACCAAACTTGCAATTCAAGATCAAACTCTTGATAAACTGACTTGTCTCATTTTTGACCATCTAGCAACTCTTTGTTTTTATCAAAGTGGTATCACTGTATATAACCATCCATTCGTTTACCATGCTTTATTCAGTGTAAGTACTTACAAGTTTTCATTTCACTGTATATAACCATCCATTCGTTTACCGTGCTTTATTCAGTGTAAGTACTTACAAGTTTTCATTTTACCCGCCATTTCCATTAGTGCAAATTATGAATTGGTGAACATTGTATTTAAGATCGGGTTCTTATTGCATTATTAGCTTAACTGATTCTTTAATTTAAAGCTGGTAATATTTTGAACCTTAAATAGGTTGGAAGACGTTAGACTCGCTAATGACTTTACTTCAAAGTCTGTTCATGCATACACCCAGGGTCTGTGATTGTGTTTGCAGATTTTGGAAAGTCTTAGATTTCAAAATCAATTAGGCTGATGTTTTTCTGGTTCATCCACATTCGGAGGGGACATGGGTTTAGTGCATGAATAGCCGTTTTTTGAGTAAGAAGTCCTAATTTTCTTTTGCAATCGGTCATGTTTTTTTCACTAGTTTTGATCATTGTCTTTAATGTGTGCCTAGTATGACAAATGTTTCTTAATTTATGTAATCTACACATACTGCCAACTTCTGAAATATTAATCACGATTAGTTTACTTTTCTTTATAAAGTAGAAATTTACTAGGGGATCGAAAATGTGCTTTACAACTGAAGTGATAATGTGAGAAAATGTAGGAAGAAAAATTGGTATACTCAATAACCACAAGCAACAAAAATTCTTTTTTTTTAATGTGTAGTTCAGTTAAAATTACAGTCGAGAGGTACTTAATTCTGTCAAGAAGGTCCAACTTTTTTGAAATATTACAATTGGAAACTGCAACGGCATCTCCATTGGTTTTTATTCCGAGGCATACCCGGTTGAAGGATCTCTAAAACCACAACTTCAGAGTTGAGATGGATCAACAGATGTCAGTCATATACAGTTACCTTTCATGTCATGGTGTCATGATATAAACTGGTCAACTGTTAACCTTTTCTACCAAAATAGAGGAGGGAGGCACAAACTATTTTATTCGTTTTGTTATTCATGTTATGAAACATTGAGAGCGATTAAAATCTTTCCAAAAAACCATTATTTTCATTTTCTTTACAGGAAGAACAATCAATATCTGTAAATAATTGGTCCGAGTTTTTGCTGAAGCCTTTGGCAAATTTTACATAAAGATCACTACTTTTTTTTCTTGTATATATATATATATATATATATTTGAAATGATACTAGTTTTCTTCCACAAGAGTTCATTTGTTTCACATGCGGTGGCGCTTTCAGTGTCCGGTTGCCTTTTGCCAAGGTTAGAAGTGAAATGCACATAGGAAAGTTTCATTTTCTACTAGGATGCTAGTGAATAGGGAGTTTAATCTAGTTTTGTGTGTTGTGTAGTTGTAAACATCTAGTCATGTGTTTTGGTATCAGAATTAGCTTTCAACATTTTGTGGAGTGGTACTAGTTGCTTCTTTTTTGTTGATATTAAACTTTTCAGCAAACAATATGAAATTAAGTCATCTTTCATGCAGTTAATACTAGGTTTTTTATATTTTCATGCTACTTACCAGCTCGTGTCGAACGGTTACTTAATTCGATTTTTAAGTCGATCACAGGTTTAATTCTCTCTCTAGTTCGGCTTGGCTGTTCGGCTGCTGACACTGGTCTTTACGCGTAAGATAGTTTGGCTCAGTACTGAGTACCAAATCTTATACTTGGTATATATATATATATATATATATATATATATATATAACATGTAACGCAATATCGCTTGTCTATTTGTGCGTCATTCATGTTTATATATCTGAAGTTCCACTGAATAATAAGGGATGTTTTTCGGTAATAACGGGTAACTTGAAAAGTAAAAACACGAAGTTCAGCGAAGGGATCTCTTCAACAAATTTATTATCAAGCTGTACAATCGTATATATATATATATATATATATATATATATATATATATATATATATATATGAAAAAGTTTTGTTAAAGTACTAATTCCGTGAGGAAATGTGAACACTAATAACCAAGATTATAATACTAGATTACGTAATACGAATAATAATAATAGATTTAGTGAATAGAATAAGATGATTATTATTATTGTTATTATTATTCGTATTACGTAATCTAGTATTATAATCTTGGTTATTAGTGTTCACATTTCCTCACGGAATTAGTACTTTAACAAAACTTTTTCATATATATATACGATTGTACAGCTTGATAATAAATTCGTTGAAAAGAGATCCCTCCGCTGAACTTCGTGTTTTTAATTTTAATGTTTAAATGGGAACTATATGCCAACTTGAAAAGTACATTTATTCTCGATTGTACGGTTGATAAAGTGGAGCAACGGTTCAGTATAGCTCTAATTCAATTACATAAATCTATACATCGTGAGTTAAATGAAGCAGTTGCTGCTTGTATTAAGAGTGTTAAATTATGTTGCGGCAGTTACCAATTTGGAAGTTTCATGTAGTCAGATGTAGTATTCTACTTATCACCATGTGTAACCTATGCTGTTTAGGCTTTTGTTCCACACAGTCTCAAAGATTTTAAAACATGATCATGTTCAATGCAATTGTTTAAACATCATAAAAGTGACTGTATAAAAAGTAAGACATTTATATTACTAACATCGTCTTCAAGAACAGCAGTAATTAATGTACAGTTTTATGAATTATAATAAATGATGGAAGTCCATAGTTTCTTGATCATATTTATCGTAAGATTTTGGCTTATTCGATAGAATTACATCACTTGAATAGGGTAATAAATTAGATCTAATCCAATTTTTCTGTTGATAGATTCTTCGAAATAATCCACACTTTACTTTTTCCAGTTGGCTGACGATATTCATGTGCAAAATTTGTTCACTCTTTATTTGTTTCTGTGTCAAAATTAGTAAGATTTATTCGAAATGAAAAATTTCTTCATCTCCGTATTTCAATAAATTGAAGATTTTCAAGAAAAAGTGTTTAAACCTTATTAGTCTACTGTTTATTAAGAAAATGTTGCGATATTTTTCTTATGACAGTTAAAAATATTGCTATTGAGTTATTTGGGCTGTAACCGTTTCGCCTCTGACCAGCTGCCTTTGGTGATGTCTAGTTTACCAGCGTGGATATCATATAGTCAATAAATAAAGTTATATGTCAGTCTATTTTGGATTGGATGTTTTCATACTTTTGGTACAGCAGGCAGTTTATATGAAAAAAGTTTAACTTATAGTGACATATAATATAAGAAATTAGTACCAGGTATTTGCTCGTTATTTATTAACTGATTTTAAATCTCTAAGATTTGTTAGATTGACGTGTAGGAAAAAAGAGCTTGAAACCTATGAGCAATTAGTGTCCCAACGTTGTATACCTTAAAGTTTGAGTAAATCTATCAGAGCATTAATTTATCTCATGGTTTAATGTTAAATGCATCATTCAATGTGTAAAAACTTTGTAGGTTATTATCTCACTGTTTTTGACCTTTAAGGGCAGTAGTTGAAACTGCCCGACGTGTTCATTGTAGGTGGTAGGTTTGAAACTAAGTGGAGTTATCGTTTTGTTTGCAGTAGTAACCTGATTTTATTGGGGCGGCTGACAATGTGGTGAATAATGTAATGGTATTGACATGGTGCCGTGGTATATTTTCAGGTAATTAGTTATAAATCTCAAACCTAGGATTTTTGCTTATCGAAATTCAGCAACAAAGCGTAATCAAAACAGTGAGAAAACTCAGAAGTGTAAAACGTTTCAGCTCATTTAAATCACATCTGGTCATCAGTTGGTTCGAATCACATTACTTATCTAGTGTGACTGTAAACGTTAAGCACAAATGCCAATTAAGTGTACTGATCGGATCTTTACTAAAAATAGCCATTCTATTATTATTATTATTATTATTATTATTATTATTATTATTAAGAAAAAACTTACATCTGAATGTTCCACTAGTCTCGTTTTTGATTCATCTAACAAGTTATTACTTGGTTTATGAGTGTTAAACATTTTTGAGTCCACACATTGTTGATAGCGTAACTGTAGAAATGAAATTTTAGACAGCTTAAGCTAGATTAGTTTCAGTAAAAATCAAGTTATTTCTCATTTACATCAACTCGTCCCTTTCATTTCTGATTGGTAAATTTGTCCTGTTATTGCATAGGATCATAAGTGACATAGTTAATATGATGTGTTAGGAGACCGTTTCTTGAAAATAAGGAGCTTATAGTGATTATAATTCACTTCACAGCAATTTGACCAAGATCGTATTAAGAAAGCGACTGGAATTCAGTACTAATTTAAATTCTCGGACTAGGATGATGTTAAATAATCACAAGTGATTATTAGGTCTGTGCAATTTCCTAGTGACACCCGTATTCAAACTATTGTGATTTATAAGACCACCAATCTCAGGAGACTTTTCAACAGTTCTGTTAAGATTACGAGCTTAACTAAGACAACCATTATATCCTGGTTGGTTAAATTGTCACTGATTATCGGATTTTAGTGTATTCAAGTCTAACTTGCCATAGCTTTTGAAATATCTTTGGGAATTCGAAATATTTTAGTTATTCTCTCCTACAGTTTGGATAAATTTACACTTACCAAACAAATTAAATCGAAAATAGGTCTGACTAGTTCCAGCGTTTCTTTTCAAATAAGCCTGTTCTTAATTAATTGTTACTAATATGTTTATAGCAAATATTAGATGATTTGAATGGATAATCTGCTTCATAAATGTAATGTTCGTAATTCACAGTCCGAGATGAGAATTACACAATTTGGTAAAAACCTATTATGAAATTCCAGGGTGATTATATTTTAAATTTAAAGTATATAGAATACAGTGCATGATCTACTCGAAATCAATTAGTAGTGCCACAAATGTAAGGTATATATATATTTACAAAGTATCGAACCTGGTGCAAATATCTACTGATTTGATTTACCAATTCATTTAAACCGAATGAGAGAAAAGTTGGCGATTACAAGAATGTCCATATGACAATTTTATGGCATAAACTTCTGGACAGTTAATACAAGCAACTAGGAATCACTATTGGTAGTCAAAAGTACTTGCAAGAAATAAACTTAAGGGGTAACATGTCATATCATATTTTTGATTATTTTTAAAGCTTAGTCAAATAAGATGACTGGTTTTTTCAGTAATGATCAAATCTTGTAAATGTTCGGTAGGATTTTGTGAATTCAACAATTTCTCAAAGTTTGATATTGGTCATTGTTAACAAGTAGTGGATCACAGTTTGGTGACAAGTATACTTGTTAAGTTTATTTTCATTTTCTGAGCTTTTCTGTAATATGTACTTCTTTAAGATCAAATTAAAAAGAATAGTACGTTTAATTCTAGGTGGTTAGAAGTAGTCTACAGGAAACACTAGGCCTAGGTTTCGAGTTAGCTGGTAATGGTCAGCGTAAAATACGTGCGATCCCGAGGAAACTGATGTTCCCTGTGCGATTCGAACCTGGGTCATCTAGCTTCACAATCTAAGAAGTTACCGCCGAGTTATTCGGATCTCAACCTACCTGTATGATTGATCTATCTACAATTAATTGGTCATTTAGTAGTTTTATTTATTTAAACACATAAATTTTGGTACAAGGAAGCACCTCATTTGATTTGTGTGAGGGCTGTGATACTGCCCAGACTGAAGCAGGTGGTTTTCTTAGGGGGCCACAACCGGAGCCTTCCCTGACAGAGGCTATATATTCGCATGGCCATTTGAGATTATTTGGTGAGGAAGAGCGTACTCTCCCCACTCTCAGCCGTACCAGGGCATTTGGTGCTCATTTAGTAGTCAACATTCATGTCTGTCTAGTCCATTTAGTGGTCATTAAATTTTTAGATACGCTTATTTGATGAATGTCAAATAGCACTAAACTTATGTCTAGAGCTCACTACCTTCAACCTACCAAAAACTCAACGTAGTACCAGGTTACTCATACCAGTGGTCTTATTTCAACTTCCTCGATAGAATTCAATCAACACTAAAGGACTAGAGAAACATGACATTATTCAGTACTCAGTCAGTCGTACAATTAATCTTTAGAGTATTAATATACGACAAATATAAATTCCACAAAAACCACAGAAGTTAATGTACATGGATGTACTTGTTTCCCAGTTGTTATATTGTTACTAAGAATCTAAATTTAGTCCCTTTTGATGTAAACGTTAAATGCATTATCTACTGAGTTCAGATAGTCATTAACTTATGAGATGGCAGGTGAATTTTATTTTATTCATAAAAAATCTCCCCCTTTATTATAAAATTTGTAAAAAAGAATAATTTTTGTAAAGGCTTACCTCACAAGCTGCTTTAAGTGTTTTACATAATTCTATTGCATTTGTTGGACAAGTTAAAACATGACATAAAAATAAATTATCAGCTGTATGTTGTATAATACCACAAATTCTGAAAAATAAAATTTTTTTAAAAAGAAAAAAATATATGAAACAAATAAAAGATAACAGAAAATATTTATTATCCAGTTTCTTATAATTTTCAAGTGAAAGAAGGTCATTTGAAAGGTTTCAGTCAGTCTATAAGTAACTTTACAAACTTAAATATAATGTAATATAATATATAATAATCAAATGTGTTATATCCTAGTGAAGGCATAAGTACGGTTAATTTCCGTGACCTATTAATGGACGATTATTCTATGTAAATTCTTATTGTTTAACTATTGAGTAACTAGATTGTGTATATCTATATTCATCTTATTATGAGCTTCATTTTGATCTATGAATTATTACTGTATGATTTACTGTTCCTAAATTATACTCAGTTTATTGATTACTGTCTCCCACGTTCACAGCCACATTTGACTTAATCTTGTACAAATATTATTTTCTATTTTATGGTGTGATGTGGTCTGTCTGTCTGGTATATAAACAGAGTATGCTTGAAATAAAATATTCACATAACAGAAGCTGCAATTGGTGTTCTGGACTTAACTGGAAGGGCTAGGCGGACAAGGGACCAAAAAGGACGCTAGACTGCTCATACCAGTTGAATGTCATGATTTGTCAGTGTTAAGGTCGGAAAAGTCGTATTTCCATTGGTGGATAATTCACGTGATAAAAGCCGGACATAAGATCAATAACGAATTAACATACGTTTTTTGTTTATTTTGTTAAGTCATAACAAATTGGCGACGGCCTTGGTCAAGTCATAACAAAATGTTTGATTATAATTCCTTGAAAAAGCTTAGACCAGATTGCCAGGCGAAACGTTGGATTTACTTCAAATTCATTCGCTGAGATTTTATAAATATATTATTCCTATTTAATGTCTTACATCAACTTGGTGCTCAAATACTGTGAAACTATACACTCTAATTTAGATGGAAGTTCTTATATAGTGTAACATGAGTTGTGATACATTATAGTTTGAAATGTTTATAGAAAATCCAAAGCTTTGTCAAAATGTCGTTATTCCTACGTAATATAAACAAATTGAATAGGCTTATTTTTTTGGTTATGGATAAATGATTCTAGAATTTTTTTCCTTAAAGTATTTGTTCGATTAGAGTTAAGATCAAATAAAATCTTAATTTTAGACTTTTTATTGTTACAAACTCATGACTTCATTAAAGATTCTTGTTTCAACTTTTCAAATTAATGGCTATCTTGTGATTTACTTAAGTATAATAATAAATAGTTAAATCATACTAAAATTCTTTCAGATTCAAGTTCCCCAATGGCTTTGATGTTTGGTAAGATCAGTGTTGGTTAGTTATGTCCAACTAATTCGGAGAAGCCATTAAGCCCTTCGGAAAAAAGATAATAGCTTCTACAAAGAGTGTGCAACTAAAACATTGGAGAAAGCAAAGCAAACGATCACGCTACAGTTTTCTTTGCTGTTTTTGTGTCTATGTAGGGAATTTGAGGTGAAATCAATGTGGATCACAGCATATAGTCTTTGTGTGTATTAGTACATTGATAATCAAAGAAGTATACTTCTATAAACACAGAGGATGTGTTATTAAGAACTAACTACTTCAGTAATGTAAGCAAAAATGGATAGTGGCTAGCAGTGGAATCCAGGTTGCGCGCTTCGTTCTATTTGGGACTCGTCAGCTGGATGTACCTGCATCTCAGAGTTGATGTTTACTCTAAGACTCGAACCCAATATCGTTCGCTTCAAACTCCATCGCGTTATCTACTTAGCTACTGAGTCCTGATAGCCACTTGCTTATGCAATGGAATGAAGTTTAAATTCATTTAGTATTGTTTGCTTGAATCTTCCCAGAGTGAATATCAACTCTGAGATGCAGGTGCATCCAACTAACGAGTCCCAAATAGGACGAAACGCGCGTCAAACTGGATTCCACTGTTAGCCACTATCCATCTTTATTTGTAATGCTTGTGAATTAAGGCTATATCGAGACAGTATGCACATATGCCAATAAGAGACTGATCAATTGCAGTCCTAAAACATCAATGGGAAGATTCAAACAAACAGTATCAAGTGAATTTGTTCTTAATTATTGATTTGATGAAGTGATTTTAATAGATATTAAGTGCTAGAGTATATGATATCGATCGTAATCATCAAAAATGCTTAGTTATGATGAAACAAAGTTCTGTAAAATTACAGTTTATTATTTCTGTATGAACCATTACAAACCTACATTACAAAATTTTACTGATTCCCTTGTTTAAACATGTAACATTTAATTCAGATGCAACAAAAAAGATGCGGAATACTTACTTTTCATCTTTATTGTAAATCCCAAAAAATGGAACTGAGCAAATGCGAAGATTTACAACAATATGTTTTTGATAAAACTGATAAAAGAGAGAACAAGATGATATAAATTAAATTATAAAGCTCTATGATACAATATTCTGAAATTCATATCTAAAGTTTTTTTTTGTTGAAAAAAGTACGCATCATTCAGAATTAAGATTATTATAGGGTGTAACTTTGAACTAATGAAAAGAGGACTAGTTTTTACGGATTTACGCTGTCAACACGAACTGTTTCCGAACTATTAGGTATCTCATATGCTATGCAGCCATATGGCTTCATTTATACTTTATGATTGTACACAAGACTTTCTCATCGATTAGCAGAATTTTAAATACTACATAAAATTATGTCATTCAAAGTTACTTATCAGGATTGGAATTACTTCGCATTTTGTTTTGAGTTTTGCTTCAAAAAACTAGAAAGTCAGTGGTTGGAAACCGTGTGTTTGATTATTAAAACGTAGTTTCACATTCGGTTTAAAATTGGTCTAGATAAATAGCTTAATTTCAGGGCTTTCATTATTGTTCTGAAGAGCACCATTAGTCCTCTACTTCATGACTTCTGTGTGAAGTAGGGACTAATGAGGGTGATCAGAGCAATAATGAAAGTTCTACAATTAAGCTATCTAGCTTGTAGTATCGGTTACTACTTTAAGCACATATAACTTATTCTAGCTTCTGGACAGGCCAATTTGTTTATTCTTCTTGAGTCACGTTTTGACCATGTTAGTTATTCGCTATCAACCTTGACTGTTATTATATGAGCGTACGTGTGTGTACACTTCTTATCCTATTCATCACATGTCTGTAACTTGTTTTTTATCTGGCTATAAATACTGATTAACGTTTGATTAAATGAAGTTGGCTCACACGCCTCCACTACGCTTCATTTCACTTCGCCCTCCTACTTGTCTGTCCAGATCAATGAGTGTACGAAATATACGTGTTCAAAACTCCATTCTCGTATTTGACTTCCTTAATTCCGTAACTCAATAACGCGATTCAAGTCGATGAAATATACGAAGATAGCCGACATGTATATCTCAATAACAATCAATCATACGATCTACTTGAAGTCAAATCACAAAAAGTTCACAGAATAAAGCACCTCTGAAAAATATCCATCTGGACTGTAAATCTTCATCATTTCGAAATGATAATTTTAACTATCTTTCTTTTCAAGTATATTAACAAAACAATAAATAGTTTACTGAAAGATAGTATCATTTAGGCTATAAACACGTTAAAAAAATCTATACTAAACTAAATGTTTGACTTTCATAACTGCTAATATCTTTCGCATCAACATTTGTTTTTTGAAAAAAAGTAATAGAACTATTTTATACCCGAAAGGCTGCCCTAATTAAAACTTCTCGGTACATGTGTATTAACAATTTGCTAATTACCAACAAAATGGCCAATGTTCTCATATCTGTAGCAGTTTATAAATGTATTTCAATAGTAAAATTAACTGAAAAATGTCATAGTTGAAAGCGTGAGTCAATTGAAGCTAGACCACCATGGAAACACTGGACGGCCGTTTCGTCCTATTATGGGACTCCTCAGCAGTGCGCATCCACGAACCCGCTCTCGCGAGATTCGAAACGGCCGTCCAGTGTTTCCAGGTTTTCCATGGCGGTCTAGCTTCAATTGACTTACGCTTTCAACTATGATAAATACTAAATCTCCACAAAAAACCCCTTCTATAATGGAAAATGTCAGTTCTGCAAAGTTTAATGGATTTAGAGAGAGAGAGGGAGAGTTCTTAAAGTTATGATTGTTGTATTTCAACCATATTATGAATGAAACGGATATCATTGATAACACTAAATGATAGCTTGAAAATATAGCCTCTACCAGGGAATTCCTACTCACTGCTTTCTCGTGACGTAGGTGTTGTTTACAGAATTAGAAGGACGAAAAGCAAATGTCCGGCGCTTTAACCGGGTCGGTAGATGTGTAGGATCCACCTAGGAGAGTCGAAAACACTGATTTCAAACCAATAGTGCACATGGGCTCCAGTATCCTGAAGTAACAAAAGGAGTATAAACCAATCGTTGGTCCCCGGCTACCATGTGACTCCATCTCCTCACGTTGCTCCACTGCCTTGTGGATCAGATCTTTAGGTCGAAGGCTCCGAGTGCCTCTGCCTAGGAAAACTATCAGCTTCAGTTTGGGCACCTGGGCAGTATCACAGCCCTCACACAAATCAAGTGAGATTTGTGAGACGCATATATATTTTTTCCCCCTTGTACCAATATTTATGTTTTTAAGTAAATAAACATTCGGATCATGAGAACTATAAAGCTTAAGTGTGATTACATTCAATAAAAAAGACAAAATAGCATTTCGTCTGAAAAAAATATGAAATTGATTAGGTGGTTCATGAACAAGCTGAAAATAAGATATCAATGGAGTATTCTACATATGATATTAATTACTTGGTCTTTAGTCGAAGTTTTATATCCGTCATTGTTTATCAGTCATATTTTCTTCATCTCTTTAAGAGGAGTGAGGTTTTATAGTGGTATTTGTACTAACTGATGATTCCTTTGTATTTGATTGGACGCTTTATTGTAGATTTCAAATATAACTCGTTCAGTTGTGTTCATTTAGTTCTACCTATCTTAAATTGCACTATTTTGGGAATCCTCAATTAGAAAATCACTTTGAATACTTCTTATTATCATATTTATTTATGATTTAGACCTCTAACTTATTGTGATAACTTGTGACAAGTTTCAAACTATTTATATGTACTAAAAACTAACTTAATGTAGGGTTAAATTGTGTTTTCTTTATTCTCTTGATAGGGGAGTATCGATGGATTTAAGAGATTCATTAAATAAATTTTAGAAAACTGCAGTAATTTGAATGTATTTCCATCTAACATACCATAGAATGACGTTTGTCAATTACATCATCTTTTTATTGTAATTTTTTACTTAAAGAAACATTAACTTTTATTTAATGTCAACTAGGTCCTTTGACCATCATACATTTGTGAACAATCTGTTTTTAATCGTTGTATCTTCATTATCATTTGTAACTCGAACCTCTTCTTTATATGGTTTCGTATTCAACATGTAAATACCAGTTAATATTAACCATTGTGTTTGATATGTTGTCTTCCTCTCTCCATTTTTTTAAGCAGTTTTGATCTAAACTTGAATGATTACTGTCTGTGAAACTTTCTATAATAATGTAAACTTAGGCCGTTAGAAGCTGATGAAAGCCTTGAAATATAATGAATTCATATTATTCTCCGTATCTTGTTCTTTTTGCTTTATTCAAATTTATCAGGCTATCAGAATGTATAAAATGACTAAAGGATTACTACAAACAAACTACAGAGTGGTAGACCATTTTTTCCTCAGTATGAAATTCTTCAGTGAACAAACATGTTCAACTTATTTCTCAGAGAAGTCTTTAAACATTATTTTTGAGCGGTTGTCGTTATATTTGAACTAATGACTAGGATAATGAATTCCAGTCAGTAAATTACCAAGTCTGGTCGGTTTCTCAAGACTAAACCTATACCAACCTGATTTTAGTCTGTTTGAGTTATTTCACAATCAAACGCTTTCTGTTTATGGGATCTGAAGTAATTTTCACAATGTAAAGTACTTATGAATTTTTGTTTTGATGTATTGATAGTTCTCTGTATGATAAAGTGATGTGATTCAATGAAGTATTTAAATTAGGGAGCATCAGACAACATATCGAATGGAACCCAAGATAACCAGGTTCTGTAGTGAACAAAATGTTTTAAACAACATTTATAACTTTTAATGCATTTACAGCATAGTTCGACTATCATAATAAGTCTCATCGAAATGGCATTATTTACGAGGAAAATTAGGTGAAGATAGTCAGTGTGTCAATCAAAAGCTTCACAAACTACTTTCATAATTACACTTGGCAATGAGAATGTTTTTCAAATTTAAATAAGTCCCTAAAGTCATGAATTTTATTAAGATTCAGTAAACCATTTATTCAGAGTAACAGTTCGTTAATTTTTAAGTGGTAAATTTCTTACGAAATTGACTGTTGATGGAGATATTGAAACGTATACTGGAAGCCATTGATTTGGATGTATTTCCTGTAGTACAGTTTGAATAGCTTGATTCATTGTTCTCATACCTTGAAAAGAACAACCCATTTAAAAATACAAGTTAAACTAAGGCTGAGTAGAGTAAATATAACTACAAAGGTGGATTTTCAAAGTGGGTACTTAAGAAAATTAAGTGGTTTAATTATACTGTTGAGTGTAAAGTAAACAAGAATATCAGTGCTATCGGAGTTTGGACTAAACTATTTAGTTTGTATAAAGACACGGTGTTCTTATAAGAATGCAGCAATACTGTACATGGCTACATTTCTCTGGACATACGGTGTTTATCATCGTTCAGCAGTATGACTCTCTGTCGTCCAATGTGATATATATGTTCCGAAATCTTTTTGGGAACACCAAACGTCTATTGGTTACTAATAATTAGAAATTATCATTTCAAAATACAGCAAAACATGTAGTTTGATTTATGCTTGAAAGGATCAATAGATTTAATCAAAACCAATGGTAGTTAATCGAAACTATTCATTGTGTAGAGATTAGACTCCATAATTGTTCTTATATTGCCCGGTTGATCGGAACACTTGATTATACAGTCGACTTATTACTAGTTCACTAAACATCTATCAGACTGATGACCTTCACTTCGAACTATAGTATGAATGACAGACAACAACCACCCGAAAATCTCAAATCATACTGCTCCAACAAACCTTATTCTTAATAGCCAGTCAGATGACCTGCATAAAAACCCTTTAAGCCTCTAAGTATGACTCAGCCGCAATACATTTACATGCATTAATCACACGACCGCAAAGTACCATAAATGAGAAATCATAATTTGTACACAAGACATTAGTGATACAAAAATGCAGCAGTAAGTGAATAACTAATCTGAGATGATGACCCTAAATGTTACATCACTTCCTATTTCCCCCCTTCCATCTAACAATAATATCCTCTTTAAGCCATAGAACTTTAAAAATATTGTACTGGTTGATAATTAATTTATATTTTATATAATATAGCATTAATTGTAATTCGATCCTCGTACAGCAATTCGTAATTTAATAGTTGACAGTTATTATGGTGGTCATGTGTTTTAAAAAAACTGGAATGGTTAAGCCATTAGCAAAAATACTGTCAAAATAATCTGAATTATTATTTGAGGAAGATGTTGTTTATTAAAAGTCCAATAACAAAATACTCACTATTTTTATAGTTGAGTTCATGAGTCAATTGAAGATAGACGACTATGGATAACATGGAAGCACTGGATGGCCGTTTCGTCCTAGCGTGGGACTCCTCAGCAGTGCGTATCCGCGATCCCGCCGCGTGAGATTCGAACCCAGGACCTAAAGTAGGTGCGCGCAGCTGATAAGTCCCGCACTAGGACGAAACGGCTGTTCAGTGCTTCCATGTTTTTCATAGTGGTCTAGCTTCAATTGACTTATGATCTCAACTATTGAAATTACATTATTATTATTTTGCTACGAATGTAATTAATTTAATATTAAATTTAAGTGTAGTCGGAAATGTGTTGTTTTTTTTATAGAAGGGAAGAAAAAACAACTTACCAAGTTTAGATTCAATACATATGAATCCTGCGTAGAGACATTTCAATTTTCTGTGTGGTTCATTTAAATTTAACATGTCAAATCCGTTCTATTTGAAAAAAAGAATACAGATTGTTTTTGGGCGTTTTAAAGTATGAAAGATTTATTCACTTTTTAATACTGAACAACTAACGTACTATGTCACAAATTGATTAAATTCGGAAACACTGTTGGAATTTATCTTATTCTCTGAATTGAAGTTCTTATTTACTAGTAATTAAACTTCTGAGATGTCTTCTTTTATTCTATTCAGTCTAGTTGTAGATAGCCATATAAGTATTGCATGGGGACTGGAGTATTTTAACACTGCTATTTCTTTTCGTTCAGGTGACAGTGCAGTCTTCCAGCCAGAAAAAACCCTAAATGATTCATTCCATGTTTAACAAAAATTGAAAAATTAGTTACAATATGAGTATGATTCGATGGGTTTGGTAGGCCATATGACAAACATTAATGCTAATTCAGGTCTCTGCTACAAATTAAGCGCGTTATACAGCCTGTCAGTGAAGTATAGGCCTAAACAATAAGAAGAGAAACGTTTTTGAACGTTTTTCTGAACGACATCAGAAGGACGATGAAAGCTCCACGACCAAACCATCCAGCTCAGAGAACAAATCAACATCAAAATCACCCACCTGAGCTACAAATCTTCTCCACCATCTCAAAGAGAAACGTTTATCATTACTGAATAAATTGTTTAATATACCTTTCATAGTAAAGCAGTGATCTATTATTTTTGAAATGTTGTTTATCATGTAAAAATGGCATCTTAGTGTAGTCATGTTTTTCATAAATTAATTATTAGAAATAACTCTATAGTTGCAAGATTGATTATTTTTACAGTCTATATTCCGAAAGAAATGCTGTACTTTAAAATGATTTCCTCTACGATTAAATGTTTTATTCGGGTCTAATGCCTTCCATAAATGATATATGTCTAACGAATAGTCAGTAGAAACAAATTTTCAGATATTGTACTCTTATCTTTTGAAATTTCAACTTCCTTTTGTATTAATCAGATTATATTTGTAAAATCGTTTCGTCTAGTATTAGCTAAATTTTAGTGATTTGTCTGTTGATATCAGTTCTTCATGAAAACCCACGTCAAAAAATATTAGTAATCGATTACAATCTCTTAAATAATCAAGAAACTATCTTTTTTTAATACTAACAGTGTTATGCTATGAATCGAAGGGAATAGTTTAGCAAATAGTGGTGTCTAGTATTATTTAAATCAACTATACTCTAGTGTCTAATTTTGAAAGGTCATTCTCAAAATTCGAGTGACTTCCTCGACCAGTGGGTTTCAATTATGTCTCACTAGTAACATATATCACTAATGAGAATCGATAGTAGTCGCACGACATGGAGAAATAACTGAAATTAGAAATGAAAAACAATAAATCCTAACTCAGTGGTCTGAAGGTTAAGCACTTATCATGAAACTTGAAGGTTTTGGTTCCGATTCCCGGAGGGTCGTAAGTAGCCACTGTTGTGAAATATTTCGCTTGAGTGAGATAAGTGTTAATTGCTCCCTAGTTTTCAATAGTTGTCTAACCAAGGTCAGTCTATTATATGAATATCTAAATTTAACTATTTCCACTACACCTTATAATAACTACATGTATACTTAGTGGTTCAGACTATCAAAACGAAAAAAATCATTTTAATAAAACTAATATTAAGCTCGTAGGTATCATTACCAAGTTTTGATTTGATAAGTTTTGAATAAATTGAGCATTGGGTAGATTGTTATAAATAAATTAATATATTTATAATATCTCAATGAGTAGAAAAATTAGATTTTCTGACGTTTCGTGACTCAGTTCAAGCAACTTCTTCAGAGAATGAATAATCAAATTAATATTAATCCAAGTTCAAGTGTACCTGATTACTTAGATATTGAAATCAGTATAATTATTATATATTTGAAAATATGACAGATATTAGTTTCTATTTTTTAAAAACATTTTTCGACAATTAACTTCTCATAAAAATTAACTGAATGTAAGAAGTGTTTATGACAAACCATTACTAGGAAATGAATATTATGACAATGTTATGCCACTAACGCTTTCTATCTTTTAATCGTTTTAGTTATTCAAATTATACTTTCCTATGTTGTAGCTTATATTGCAGTGTATAATAAAGTTGGAAGTGGGGAAACCGTGAAAAAACCATAGTCATAGTTAGTTCTATTTGAAAACCTTTTAGACTAAAGCAAAAATATAGTTAATAAGATATACCTTGGAGATTTTGAAATGAATTTTGACAATAATTTATGTAAATAAAAATATTCTGCTTCATATTATTAATTAGTCAACAAATCAGAAGAGATAATTTCATCACATTCCATTTTAATGTAAGACTTCAAATTCATCATTTATCACTTTATCATATATAAAATGTTAACTGTACTACCATGAGGTCCACTTATCGACTTAGAATACGCAGATGACATAGTCCTGTTTGGTGAAGACGCTGACAAAATGCAGAGACTTCTGTTAGAACTGAATAATAATGTCAGAATGTTTGGGATGTGTTTCTCGCCCTCTAAATATAAATTGTTACTCCTGGACTGACCTGCGCCAACACCTAAACTAAGGATAGGGAGTGAAGTAGTCGAACGTGTCAACAACTTCAATTATCTTGGAAGTCTGATCAGCCCTAATGGGTTGGTGTCTGACGAAATCTCAGCACGGATTCGAAAAGCTCGTTTGGCTTTTGCCAACGTACGTCACCTATGGCGAAGACAAGGTATCCGTCTATCAATTAAGGGACGAGTATAGTGTGCAGCAGTCCGTTCTGTTTTACTTTACAGCTGTGAAACATGGACATTAAGAGTAGAAGGTACTCGGAAGTTACTAGTATTTGACCACAGATGTCTTACAAATATTGCTCGCATCTGCTGGGATCACCGGGTAAGTAATAGTGAGGTTAGACGCAGGGTATTAGGGAATGATGGTAAATCAGTTGATGAGGTGATGAATCTTCATAGACTGAGATGGTTGGGTCATGTGTTACGTATGCCTGAACACCGATTACCACGAGGCGCTATGCTGACTAGTATAGGGGATGGTTGGAAGAGAGGTAGAGGTGGCCAAACCAAAACGTGGCATCAGTGCTTGAAGTCACTAACTTCTAGTCTGAGCCATGTTGGTAGATGCAGACTACTTGGTTGGGGTCAGCGCGACCATTGTAACCAATGGTTGGACACTGTGTGACATGGCTCGGAATCGATCACAATGGCGTAGGTGTATACACTCTTTATCTTCCCTTAAACCTTGAGATTAAAATAGCTTCATATCTGTTTTCGTTCCTATACTATATCCTTACATAAAACCTTTCTTCTATATATTACCATCATTAAATTAACTACTATGAATTCGGTGTTCATCTTGTTGTGCTAATGAGTGAGGTATGGCAACTTGGACCGATGCATATATGTGCCTGGTCCTACGTTGTAACTGACTGACTTACTAATTATTTTCACGATAGGTTGCAAGCTTCTTATTAAAACACATTGGTACATGGACTCAAAATATAAATGAAATAAATTTAAAACAAATAAATTTGTAGCAATCTTTTGTTTTCACAGTTGGATGACTGATGGCTTATTAGTGTAAACAAGTTACCATATTGCTTATGAAATTGAAAATAAAAATTTCTATTTTGTAAAAATTGACAGATTTTTCAAATCTGTTACAAAACGAGGAACTAAACTAAAACAAATTTGTTTCCTATATGAAGTAATTATTTAAGCAAAACAATATTTATGTCAAATCATGTGTGGCCTGGATATTTTTTCTTATGAGAAATTAACTAAATTTTATATTTTGCTATCAAAGATCTAAAAATGGCGTCTTTTTTTTCAATTTATCATACTATTGGTAAAATTTAATCCAGATAATATTTTAGTCTATTCTATGGTCATTAACTAAAAGTGCTATTTGTAGTGTGGTGTTTATAAAGTTTTAGTGCCCAGACTGAGAATTTCTTCTTAGTATAGTAAATAACACAGTTTTAGTGTAAGAAGTTTGTGGAGATTGTTAAATCTTGTTTTTAATAACACTATAAACGCCTTACATTTATAATAGTCACTAAGGGCAAATTTTGAGGGGCGATTATCAAAACTCTAGTGGAGGCTGTGGTCAGTGATATCCAACAATGTCGGGTATGAGGTAGTTACCCAGCATTGATTACATAATATCACGATTTCGTTGAAGTTAGAAATGTTAACCAGTGGATGGCGACTCAGTGGTTTGAAAGGTTGAATGTTCGCAGAGAGGCGTGGTCTTGTGTTCTACACTCTGTGAGGTTGTAGAATAGGTACTTCTGAAGAGTTCTGTACTGGGATGACATAACTATCCAATGCTTCCTGATCTTTAGTGGTTCTCTTACTAAAGTCAGCTCGTAATGTGAACTACAAAATATTTATGTTATAGGGTTTTCAAATAACTACACTATAGAAGTTAAGAAACATTCTCAAATCAAACCAGTTTCATAGAAATGATAATTTAGAACTCTTACTTATGAGACTGACTAAGATTCAAATAATGATGACATTTATGTTCTTTGTTATAAGGAAAAGTTTCCAAAGAATGTATTGAAGGTAAAATCATCATTTATATAATGGCTTGTATTAATACGAATTAGAAATGGGATTATGTAGGAATAATATCGTGTGGATTCAGCAATTCTTTACAATTAGGGAATATTTGATGAAGGAGGAGTTTCTTGAAGAAAGCTTAAGTAACAAAAAGTGCTTATGAGAGTTTGATTTCTAGATTTCGACTTCTATTCATTCAATACTTCCATCCGAATTAAATCTGAATGAAAAATTGTTATTCGAATTTCTGTGAACCAAACATGGTTTTCATACATTCCAACAAGAAGATTATAAAGATTTTTATTTTCTCGTTGATGGTATCGAGTGAACTGTAACTAATCAATCTTTACTGGGATATCTGTATATCGATATTTTCACTTAGTTTCATGTTTTTGTGAAGTTGGATTGTGGTTAGTAGTGGGATTTGAAATGAAGGTTTTACCCTTATTCGGAACTCGTCAGATGGATGTATTTAAAATACCTATTTCGTACCGTTTAGTTCTTCAATTAACGTTACTTTATTATAATTTTCTTGAGATTTTTAAATTTAATTTTACTTTATGAGTTCTTCTATTTAGGTTATATATATATATATGATTGGTGGGACTTGTTACGTATATTATTGTAATCAATATTTCGTCAATAGTTTAACTGTTGGCTAAGCTGTGCTCCCATTTATAATGAGTATTTATCTTATTGTAAACGTGAATTTTGACTATTCCGGATGAACTTGACTGAAATAAAGTTGGAGTTAAAAATGTTTTCACTGATTGTATTTCTGTCTGTCTTCCTTCCTATACTATATCCTTATATACAACCTATCTTTTATATATTACCACTACTAAATTAACTACTATGAATTCGGTGTTCATCTTGTTGTGCTAATGAATGAGGTATGGCAACTTGGACCGATGCATATATGTGCCTGGTCCTACGTTGTTGCTGACTGACTGACTTATTGTATTTCGGTGAATTAT